CCAGGCTCCATTCTGATCTAGTAAACACAGACAATACAAATGTTTTTTTTTGGGGGGGGGGATTTAAACCACTCTATATCTTTTAATTTTGATTTTTCTGCAAACCTGGGAGAGTCCCCCAGTCTGTGGATTTAGGTATCTGCAGATGGGGGCAACAGATCACTAATAGTATATAAATGTTTATCTAAAGAAGAATTTTGTGTTTATTAAAATCTTGCATTTTTTTACTAGGAGGAATTAGTCCCTATGTAGGAAATCAGGGCAGGAAATATTGATGACCAATTTCACAGAAGGATTCTAGAACACTTTGCACATTCAAATGGTACAGAAATACAACCTGCATGTAGTATTCTTGTTTCAGTATGCACCATAAATACAATTGGTAGCATTATTCCCTTGCTAGCTGCATTCAGTGGACATGCAAAAGTACAGCTGACAGATAGATGAAAAAGCCAATATGGTTAAATGAGCAAAATAGTTGCCCTGCACCTTCCCTTTAACCTGCTTGGCATTTGCCAAAGTAGGCTCTCTCCTTCCCTCTGGGCACAGATAACACTTCTTTATTTCAGCAAGCCATCCTGCTAAACATGAAACCTTGCATCACCTTGCCTGGGCAGGAACAAGTAGTCTGTACTGGTCTAGAATTCATGAGCTGTGGTGCAGGTTTACAGGCTACAGTTACTGCACAAAATTGGTGTTCTGGGCAGGGAGAGTATCTGTTGTTCTGATTAAGATTTTGATCCTTGGAACAAAAACTAGCAAGGCATTATTGGAGCAGGTAGAAGGCTAGTGTATGTGTGCTTGCCAGTTCAAAGGACAAAATTTAGGCACTGAGAATGAGCTGTATGAATTCATGCATGGGAGAACGCAGAAGAATTACCTTTGGAAGGGTAACGTGTTTATTACAGTATGTGAACAGTCTAGAAATAAGGATAACAGTACCCAGCCTGAGATAAAATGAATGCTTCTGAAATGTAGGTTTTGTTTGTTTGTTTGTTTATGTACTAAATTTCTACTCCACGTAGTCTAGTCACTGAGACTCAAAGCGGATTACACAGGGTGAGTTAACACAACTAATATGAAGAGACATCTAATAAGCATGGGACAAGGACTAGGATTACAGAAATCTGAATAAGCATAGTTTATTAGACATGATACAGAGTACAGATACATTACAGAAAAATGGCATTAGAGCAGCAGAAAACAGTGCAGCAACAACAGGTAGTATGTTCAGCAAACAGGTGTGTCCTGTATTATGGTGGTATAGTCTGCAGTTCCTTTTCCTTTATAAAGTGACTTTCTGAACCATTCTGTTATAGTATAGCCTTTATAGAAAAGCCCTCCTGAACAACTCCATTTTACATCAGTTGTGGAATGACAGAAATGTGGGAGCCCTCCTGACCTTCTCGGGCAGGCTATTCCGCAAAGTGGGGCCACAGCAGAGAAAGCACATGTATTGGCGATTATTGTTCTTCGCTGTTTTGCGGGGTGGAACCCGCAGAAGGCCCTGAAAATATGAGCAAAGCTGTTATGGTGGAACATAAGAGGAGAGGCGGTCCTGCAGGCATGGAAATTCAAGGCCATACAGGGCTTTGTATGTGATTGTCAGTACCTCGCATTAAACCTGGTGACTGATGGGCAGCCGATGGAGTGACTGCTTAATGGGTTTAATATGCGAGCACCACCTAGCTTGTGGTAATAACCAAGCTGCAGGATTTTGCACCAACGGGAGTCTCTGAGTTAACTTCAGAGGCAGAGCCATGTAGAGTGCATTACAGTAGTCTCGTCTTAGTGTTACTGTGGCATGGATCCAAGTGGCTAGATTGACCAAGTCAAGGTAGGGGGCTGTATTCTAGGAGTGGCAAAACTGAAAGTTGAAAGAAAGTTTATATGGTACATTTTGGTTGCAGCAATTTTCAACCAAGATAAGGTTGAAAGAAGATGAGATTCTGGTAGTCGAAGAGTATCTCTTAAAGCATAATGAAATATTAAAGTTAGTATGGCGAACAGTACAAATACTTTGGCCATGCAGTGGAGTATGACAGCCAGTGTCAGACTAGGGTCTGAGAGGCACAGGTGCAAATCCCCACTTAGCCATGAAAGTTGTGGCACAACCATCCACCAATTAGCCTACCTCATAGGATGGTTGTTGTGAGGACAAAAGGCAGGGAGAACCATGTGTGCCACCCTAAATTCCATAGAGGAAGGGAAGAATAAAAATGTATAGCTAGCTAGCTAGAATGGAGCCTACGTTCTAGGGGGGGGGGGATGTCTCCGGTTCCAGATAGATATCAGGAATTCGTAAGTAGGAGCTAACAGAATGGATGTAATTTCTTTTTCTAAGATGTGTAAAGACACATTCCTGTGAACACAAGTAATCAGTAACTGGCATTTCTGTTATCTCCTTGATGACAAAGACCGTGTGAGGTTAAAGGGGGAGGGGGGAGACTATAGTCAGTGAAGTCACATGGAGAGAGCCCACCATTCTTCTTGACCATTTTCTGTGATGTGAATTGGGCATCATGACTTCAATCCAGGGGCATGTGCAAGCATGGCCCAGATTCAAACAATCAGTAATATTGATGACCAGTTGTTGGTGGGAGGAGAGCTGGTAAAACTAAATCCAGCTGTCTACTGTTCCTCTCCCACAGCTGTTTGACAGTATCACTGATTTATGGGAAGGGGTGTATGTGTGGAAGAACACCACTTGCACTGTCTGCCTATGAGCTTAACACGGTCCACTTTCCAACCCAGAGGTTTTTCTATGCATTTGGAAGGTATTCTCTTCCAAGTGAGCCTGTAGGGGGTGTTACTCAGAATGAAGGACACATTATACAGTCAAAAGGGCATCCTCTAGCTTGTACTCCTTGTTTGGGATTTTAGTATAAAATTGCAGTAGGGCAAGCAGTTCCAAGGAAAAGATGCATGGAAGGATTCTGCATTCTGTCCATGCTTCTCCTGAGTTTATGGCTCCCGATGACATTCCCCATGCATCTACTGAGTAAATGGACTCACTATAGGTTGTAGATTGTGGCTCAGGTATGCTGAATGGGAGGGTGGCGGGGCAGTGTCCTGGGAGAAAAATAAAAAATAAAAATAAGGCCTTGGCTACTTACCAGAAGTTCTGACCACAGAGTTCCTGACAATTCCTAGAGCTACATGGAAGTAACAAGGATAGCTCTAGCAATCTTCAGAAACTCTATAGTATGATTATTATAGAGCTTCTGGCAATTGCTAGAGCTACCCTTGTAACTAATGGGTACTCCAGGAATTGTCAGGAACTCTACGGTCAGAACTTCTGGTCTGTATACAAGGCCTTATTTTTCTTTTTAATTTTTCTTTCCAAAATAATCGTGCCCTCCCTTTGCCCGAAGGGCTGAAATTGCCTGGAGGTCTCCTTCCATTAAGTGGGCAAATAGGAACCCTATGAATGAGTGCAACTCCTCTCTCCCCACAACACCGAACCTCCCCCCTCAAGCATGCCCCTGCAGATTGTGATTGGACAGAGAGGAGAAGGCAGACTTTGAAACCTATTTAGGCCAACCTGTGGTGTGTTAGTGAACCAGGACTCAAAGAATGAATATGGGGGGGAAATGACTATAATAATCAGAACAATTTATCCTAATATACAAATTATCTTAAAAGCTATGTGACGCTCCTCACTCATGGCCCCCCTTGTTGGTCCTCCACTGTCATGTTGCCTTGCCCCGGGAGGCTTCTCAGGCCTCAGAATGGGTCAAGGAGGGGGTTGTAGGCACCCTGGACCCCCTGTGCCTTTAGCAGAGAGCACTCTAGCCCTCTTCCTCCCCAGCCTTTGGGGAAGCTTGCCATTTAGAGGGTTGTGGCCCTCCCCCCCGTCCAATCACCATGGACCCAATCCTCTATAGAGGTGGGTTCTTGACCACCCCCCTTTACCCAGCCACAACTGCTCACTTAGGTAGAAACTGGTGGAAGCAGGGCCTTTCCTATGCGTCCCGCCTCTTCCCTGGTTGGGCCAGCCCCTGTGGTGTTTCTCTGACTCTGGCCACTGCTGGGGGTGTGGCATCAACTGCAGCACCCCCCCCCCCTGTGCTTTCCTGGCTGGGCTAGCCAGCACTCTTGGCCTGTGCAGAGTCTCTCAGGCTGGCCCCAGCCAATGATATGATCCCCACAGTTGGGTTGCAGAGCAGGTTGCTGGGCCACACTGGGACCAGGGTGGCTGTCTCCCTGACCTTCGCTGGCAGTGTCTTTCCAGGCATGGACCAGCTGGTCATTGGCGCTTCTTCCCCCAGTTTGTGTGTGTAGATGCCTGCTCCCACTCTTCCCTAGCCCCAGCTGTGCCATCGCAGCCTCCATTGGGACAGGAGATGGCTGTGGAGGCCAGGAGGAAGCCGGGGCCCTAAACCGCCTTGGACACACTGCAGCCTTCAGAATTCCAGAGCAGGCCGTGAGATACTTGAAAGTTGGGGCTGGCCCGAATGTAGAATAAAGAGAAACTCCTACCTGGAACCAGTGCCCACCATGTGTAGATTCCAAGACTGGTAAACATCAATACCTACCAGGAATTCAGTTTCAGATGATGCAGTGCATATAAATTTTATGTCATAAACAGATTTTTTTTTGTGTTACGTGTTGGTCTTGTGAAGGGCAAGAAAATGAGTATATGTAATGTAGGCAGAGGATGGTTGAAAATTCGCTCTGCTTGTTTGGGCACATACTGTTTTTAGACGTTTATAGCCTTGCAGGGAAAATGGGCTTTGAGGAAAGATTTGGACAAAGTTAAAGCTGCTTATAAAAGTTTGGACAGAAGGAACCAAAAGGAAGAATTGGTGAAATCCTTTGACAGAACAGGAGAATTTGAAGTGCATAGGGATGACAGACCAATTGTAATACTCTGCTCCTAATAAAAAGATATCCATCTAGCATCTCTTAGAGGTAGATGTGAAAGAAGATTCAAGGGGTATCAGGTCCCATTTCCAAGTCCTGATTGTTTATTCACAGCCTCTTCTGCTTCTTTTCAGATTACAATGTCCCACTTGCCTCCCAGAAGGCCTTGCCTAAAGGAGATGTGACACAGACTAAAAACCAGTGGGAAGTGCCTGCTGTTCATCAGCCGAGTGATGCCGCTGAGCCTGATTCTGAAACACCTTCCACCAGTACCCTTGAGGAAGAGGAAGGGCTTCTCCCTATAAACCAGTCAAAGGGAGCACCACAGAGCAGCCAAAGACCAAAAGTCATTTTCCCTGAAACGACTGGCCAGGACTCCTTGTACTCCATCCTTTTGTCCACAGCCACCAGCAGACGGAGTGCAGTGACTGAGGCTGCGCTAGAGAGACAAGAGGAAGAGTCTGTCCCTGAGCATGCTTCCTCGGGCTTTGACTTAGGGAGCAGCATGGGGCCCAGTCTCTTGCCTCTGTCCTCCATTTTGTCAGCCACTCCTGAAGGACCACAGGGCGTCTCTGAGGTCCCTTTCAAGAGCACTTCAGAAAGTACAGTGGCCATTGTAGGAGCAGGAAGGGAACTAGCTGAGGCTATAGCAACGGCAGCTACAGTGAAAGCTGATGTGCAAGAAGTGGAGGCCACAACAAGAGGGGAAGGGCCCGAGCCCACAGCAGGAGCTGGGCTGGGCCAAGCAGATTCCACAGAAGGGAGAGCATCCATGGAGTCCACAGAAACAGCTGAAATGGAGCAGACGAATGAAGACCTTCTGCTAACAGCATCTCATGGGGATGGCTTCCAAGCAACGGAGACTGTGTCCAGGACTCCCGGCAACCCATCAAGCCCAAGCTCTTCGGTCGACTGGACTGATAAGCCGGCTCCTACCCCTACCACTGCCTGGAACAGCACAAAGCAGCCAGTCACAGCAACGGCTACTGCGGAACAGAGTTTTGTACCACAGACTGAAGATGTCCACATGGCAGTGTTGTCTACTGGAGTGCCCTGGAGTTTGCCGCAGGTAGTGATATAAGGGTCAAATATGGGAGTGGTGTTTATAACTATAACTTAGCCCTATTTCAAAGGCTTGGAGGAGGTAACAAATCCTAGAAAATTATGTTATACTTCCTATATGCTGGAATACTATTCATACACCTTTTTTTTTTTTTTTTTTTAGTCAATCAGTGTTCTATTAGTCATAACAGGCATGAATAAGAGATGTCACACAGCTATAATTATACTTTGATGCTGAGGTTCAAGACACTAAATTATATTTACTGTCAGTACTATGATATTCGAATTCAGAAACAAAGCAAAGTAAACAATAAAACATCAGCAATGTTCTAAGCACAATAGAGGGAGTAACTTTTTAAAAATCCAGTTTTTTCTTAGATGTATTTTTAGGATTTGCAAAGGAGAATTTCAAGAGCTCTTAGGGACAAAATCCAATTTTTTTTTACTAGCACAAATTAACATGCCTGAACTATAAAAGTTATTTAAAGTTTTTATGCTTGATAAAATCATAGAAGCTCTAGAGGTGTTAATTGCTTTTTCTGTAACTAGAAAAGGGGATATTTTAGTAGGGCTTGTGGTGATTTCATGGAGTCCCATTAACTACACATCTAGGAAAAGTAGTTTGTACAGTTCCAAAGCTGTAAACATTACTGCCATGGCAAATTCTCCATCCTACTCCTTGCCATAATATTCGGACGTTCTTCCCTGATGGAAGACCTGCATCACATGGTGAGCAGCCATGATGCTACTATCATATGCCAGGAATTTAGAGGAAGGGGTTATAAACCAGGGGTGTCAAACATGCAGCCGGTGGGCCGGGTCCGGCCCCCACAGGGCTCATTTCCAGCCTGTGAGCAACTGGCTGTCATCTGCTTCCTTCTCCCACTCTCCTGCTTCCTTCTGTGTCACAGGTTGCTTTGCCAGGCTCTCTAAATCACACAGGAGCTACAGAGCAAAGCCTTTCTTCTCTCCATTGGCTGAGGCTCCTCCCCCCTCCTTTGGAGGGAGGGAAAAAGTAAGACCTTGCTTTGCTAGGCTCTCTCGATCGCACAGAAGAAGAAGAGAAGACGAAGAGATTGGATTTATACCCTGGCCTTCACTCGGAGTCTCAGACTGGCTTACAAACTCCTTTCCCTTCCCCTCCCCACAGCAGTCACCCTGTGAGGTAGGTGGGGCTGAGAGAGCTCTTTCAAAAACTGCCTTTTAAGGACAGCTATTGTCAGAACTATGTCTTGCCCAAGGTCATCCAGCAGCTGCAAGTGGAGGAGTGGGGAATCAAACCCGGTTCTCCCAGATTAGAGTCCGCACATTATCCACTTAGCCAACTCTCTCTTCCCTCCATTGGCTGGGGCTCCTCCCCCTTCTCTCCCCCTGGGGAATGAGGGAAAGAATAAGTGCTTACTTTGCCCAGTTCCCTCAGTCGCTCAGGAGAGATACAAAGCACCTTTAAGACCAACAAAATTTTATTCAAGGTATGAGCTTTTTGCCTTACTACAGAGAGAGAGAGAGAGAGAGAGAGAGAGAGAGAGAGAGAGAAAGTGTGTGTGTTTTGTGGGGCTCCTTATGCCAGGGCTCTCCTGGGTTTCCCTCCTCTTTTTTGCTGTATTCAAGCCCTCATGATACAGTCTTTCTCAGTATGAAGCAATGTGAACTATTTAGATGAGGAATAACAACAAGCCAGTGAGGTGGATTAGTGTGTGTCCAGACCAAGTTCACCCAGCACATTTCCTTTGTAGGCTGGGGATTGTGAATTTAGACTTCCCAGATACTAGACTGATAATGACCACTATACATTGCTGTCTCTCTATCCTTGCACTGCCTCATAGGAATTGTAGTTATTTCTCTGGGGAAGACTATAGTTTTGTAGACAAACACATAGCCCTCAGTCTGTCATGGTGCCTTCACGTGTTCTTCACCAGCACACGAAGCAACTTATGTACAAAAGCTCGCAGTGCCCAACCATTTCATGTTTTCCCTTCGGTCTTAGGCGCAGAGCATTGACCATGAGATTTCTGTAATGAATGTCAATAAATCAAAAGTAGGTTTGCAAATTACAGCTACACACCAGAACAACACCTGAACAGCATACTCAAGATTGCTACAGCACATTGTCTCCAGATTTTGATGTAATAATTCATAGCAAGAGGTGTCAGTTATCAGAGACTGTTAAATAAACAAAATATTGCAAGAGTGCTAATATTTTAAGCATGGTTTATTTTAAGTTTTTTAAAAAATCTTTAATAGTGTTTGTCTATGTCCTTTATAAAGTTTATATCTCCGCTACCTGACACTACATTTATTGACACACATGGCCCGGCCCGACAAGGTTTCATTTATGTCAGATCTGGCCCTCATAACAAATCAGTTCGACGACACCCCTGATCTAAAAAGTATAATAGAAAGGGCAGGGATAGAACATCCACCAGGGTACTGTCTTGGGGTATCCTTTTGTTGTGCAGAAACAGTGCTGAGTCTGGGATTTTATTTTCATGTTGAAATCCTGATCTGAGGACTTTACATTTCGCAAGAGTTAATGAGGAAGAGGAGGTTTTCAGGTTTTGTCTTTGAAATACGTCTTGCCACTTCAGCCAAAACCTAGCAGCTAGTGGTGGTGAGTAACTGTGCAGCCCTAAGCAGTGTAAATTTATTTAGGTTTGCACTAAATTTATTTAGGTTTGCAGGGAATGTCCCCCCCCCCCCCCGAAACAGAACTGTTGTCATTTTATGTTTTTAAATTTCCTGCTTGTTGAGGCAACTCAACCATACTTCTCAATCTTAGTTATTGTTATGCCTGGGTAAACATACTTTTTTCTGAAGTAAAAATTAAGAAAATAGATTTTAGCAGACTTTTTATGCCAAGCTTGAACCTATGGTCAGTTTCAAGGAAATTGTTTCAGGTGAGCCATAGTTCTTTAAAGACACATATTGGTCACATTCATACCTTGCACTCTTGGCACAAGCTCAAGGCAAAGCTAAAATATAGGTAACAGATCTACTAGAGACCTGCATGAAATATTTTTGTGAAGATGCCCAATATGGTGGTTTCATAAATATTAGCCAGAATTGTGAACTGTGTTCAGATTGGGTTTATAAATTTTAGGTTGGGAAATCCCTGAAGGTTTGTTGGTGTCAAGAAGGTAGGTTTGGTGAACGGAGGGACCTCGACAAGGTATAATGCCATCTGGTCCACCCTCCAAAGCAGCCATTTTCTCCAGAGGAATTAATCTCTGTTGTCTGGAGATCAGTTGTAATTCCAAGGGGATCTCCAGGCCCCACCTGGAGGCTGGCAACCATAGCTCAGATTGTGATGTAATTCTGCATGCTTCTTCTGTTAAAATGAAGAGCCTGTGTGTTTCTAGTATTGTTTTAAACTTCCTCTGTCCTGTTGAAAGTTATTTCTCATATGCTAGTTCAAAACCAATGCATTTTGACTGAGTGAGAAATTCCTGTTCACACAGATCCACCAATATTTCTCCCCGACTGATTTAAACTGAGATTAATTTACACTATTTGCCGGGAGCAGGATCCTAGATATGGCCCATTTGAGCCATAAACATTTAGCTTCTTTTTTCAATTTTCCTGACTTACAGAATCTGTTGTTTGAATTCAGAAAGTTTGCTGCCTGTTCGGGGTTCCACAAGGGCAGATTTGAACCTGAGAAGACAGCAGGGAGTGAAAGGAAGAGACAGAAATAACATACATACTCTCAAAATAAATTACCAGCTTTCCTAATGAAAGTCTGCAGAGACATATTTCAGATACAGCTATAAAGTCTAAAAGTGTTATGAAAGTGGCTCTTGGCTCCTCTGTGGAATCTCTGTTGCTATATTATTTAAGATGTCTGTAATCCTTGTCTGACACCGGGGGTTAACTATGTACGTCTCTCTTAGCTCAGTCCTGTTTGGGAAACCATGGATAAGTAATTGCCCATACTGGAGCAAGGTGGCCTGCTTGCCTTTTATATGATGGACATGCATAAGAACATTTAGTGCTGTGTGATGAGAATGTGGGCTTTGTGATTATCCATTCACTCCAAGCAGACATGTCTTTGAACATCCTTGGAATCTTAGCATTTTGTTCCATCTGGAGAATTAAAATGCAGACTTAACTGTGTCCAAATAGTCTCCTGGTGATTAGCATAAAATGCCTCGTCATCTTACTGTATTCAGTAAAGTAGACAAAGGATAGAATGTGCAACAAAAACTATATGGTATTCCCTCCTAAAGAGATTATTCCACCTACCAACTAGAGCATGTCATTATGATAACTGAGAAGCAAGAAAAACTTTGCTTTCTTATCCCTCTGTTATATTTTATTGGGACATCAAAAGAGGATAATAATGACACTTCACAGCATTTGTATCATGCTTTCATGAGTTCAGAGCACTTCACATACTTTATCTTCTAATCTCTACAAGAACCCTGTAAAGTACTCTGGATTTGGAGAGTGGCATTGAGGCCAAGAGGAGAGCTAGTCTAAGGCCACCAAATGAGTTCATGGTGGAGATGAGATTTGAATCAGGGATTTCCTGGTTCATTCTTTGGTCACTGTACTACACCAGGGCTCATTTTGGCTCTTTACAAAGAGGCTTTATTTCAGAACATTCACTTGGAGGTGGAAAAAATTAATCCGAATTTTTTGTTGTTGTCCCCCACCCCCAATTAAGGAAAGGATATTTGGGAAGGAGATTTCTTTTCAATATAATTTTAAATGCGTGTCTCCTTGGAACAGCTTTGAGCATTAATAATATGCACAAATATAGGAAGTGTGAGTGGGTTTTACTTCCTGTCTTCTTACATATTATTAATGTCTGAAGCTGCTCTTCTCATGGTGTCAGCAAGAGAGTGCTACCAATCAGAGTAGACACACGGGGCTAGAAAGACCAGCAGACTGACTTGATTCAAAGTTGGTAAGTGACAGAGTTGTACTTCTTTCAAAATCATTTTCAAATAAACTCAGGGGCAGTTTTTGTTTTTGTTTGTTTCTTTCCAGGTGACCTGTAAAGACTGGAGCAACCTGGCAGGCAAAAATTACATCATCCTGAACATGTCTGATAACATTGAGTGTGTGAGTGGCTTTTTATTTCTATAATTTAGTGCATTTTATTCTCTCCCCCCCCCACATCCTTAAAGCTAAAATTAAGGAGGCATAGATGAAAAGCAATCAACTTGTATGAAGATGTTTTAAAAAATCTTGATCTTGTCAACGCTAGATAATTCATTCTTTTAAATGTTACTAAAGCAGCATGGAAGCCAGCCATGAGGAAATAGCAAACATACTGCTCTGGGGATCTCTGAAATGGGTTTTTGAAAGCTTCTCTGGATGTGTGAGTCTTGTTATTTTTCACATCACATAGCTGAGACTTGAGAACGTGTACCCTGTGTGTCTGGTAAGTAACATGAGAAGCAACCCTGTGGCTGGCCTTTCTAAGCAATTACAGTGATGTCACACGAGATAGTATAAAATAATACCCTGGTGCTTCCATAAGTTACATTAGATAGCCATGACCAGAGCTGTACAACCTAGGGCCCTGGGACTGCATTGCTAGCCATGCTTGATTATAGTGAGTCAGATCCTTGATTAAATTCACTGGCTCACTTGCAGCATGTTTGGGGGTGTGAAGAAAAAGCCTTAAACAGCTGACATCCACAGGCTTAGATAGATGTAACTCTACTGGGACTGCTAGCTAAGTAATGAAAATATAAAATGGCTCTTCCACAGATTTGAGTTACACGGCCCTTGTTTGTGGGCAAGTATTTAAAAAGATTAGAGTGGAGGAACATTCATTTCCATTTCATTCTGGCAACAGGCCAGAAAAGGAAAACAGTGGACAAGCCATTTTCCCCATGGTCCATTGGTGACCCTAGACACGGAACAAATTTTCCAGATATTGGGTTGCTTTCTCTTTTGGGGTGATTATCTAGAAAGATGTTGCTTTAGGACTCTGTCTATTTTGCAAGGTTTTATTTAGCTGGGAATAGATAGATCTACACGTGTTAAAGCAGTTGGGCAGTGGGACACTTAAATAAGGTGCCTTCCTCTGAGCGACTGGGCCAGTGGGGTTCTGGCCAAATAGACACCCTTCAGCGTTGTCTGTTTGACTGTGATTTGCTCAACGAGGCAAGAGGTGGTTGGATAAAACCTTCTATCCAGGACTCTAGGTGTGAATTGAATAATTTGAGGTTTCTTTTTGCAGGGGTGGAATTTAATATTACATTGGCAGTTGCCAAGTTCTTCTCTCAGTCGATTAGGATTAGAAATCATTAAATTTTATATTATATATTATATTATATAGACACATGTATTAAATAAAATTGGTTTCCCCCCCCTTTTTTAGTCTTAGTGTGACACTGTTCAGAGCCAAATTGGCTGTAAGAGCTGTATTATTAACGTAAAGCAATTGGACAGTGATGAGTACTTTAGCTATAATAAAAACAGAACTGCTGCAGGCATTCTGATCAGCTAAAATAGACTAGATAGAAAGATAGACAGTTTCTTTCGTAAGGGAAAAACCCAGCCTGCTTTGTTGGTTGTAGTAATGGCCTAACAAAGCTTGATGAGATAAAGGTATAGCATTTTGGGGGGTTTTACTGGTAGCTACAATGCTGTTGTTTAGCATACTTCCTTTGCATCTCTCAGTGATGATGCTTGAACTGAAGGTGGGTGTTTTCCCAATGTCATCATTTCAGAGTGCCAGCCTGCTGCCATTAAATCTTCCTTAAGTGCCTCTTTTGTTTCCCAGTTATCTTGTTTACTATCTCATGCCTGTTAACCGGACACAGTCCTTTAATCCATTACTCCTCCGTCAATCCTGTAAAGCTGCAGTTAATTGATGATCCAAAGTCTTTTTCCTGTTAAAGGTCCCCATTCACCTTAAGAACTTTTGATGGACCATTAGATAAACCAGTCCTTTAAAACCTTGTTGAAGTCCTTTAAAACCTTGTTTTGAAGACAACACAGTCAAACTGCATAATTCTAAAAATACACAGCGGACATCTGGACCTAGCACAGACCCTTTTTAAAAAAAATTCTGGACCTATTTCATCTCCCCTGGCAATGCACCTTTTATGTTTTGTCAGAATTCCCTAATATTTTCCTGCTACTCTGTACTAGGTATTCTTTCCTGTCCTTCATATTGGTCATTGATACGGTACAACTCAGAATTCGCAATGGGAACAAATTCTCACTCCCTTGTAAGCTGTGATGCTCCTAAAATTGTTTGTGTCGTATTTTGGTTGATTGTGTGTAGACAAAAAGTTTAGGCCACAGTTCTAACTGTGTGGTCCCAGGCTTGTATCCTCAGGGAGGGAAGCATTACACCCACATCCTCTCCACACTCCCCTTCTGTCAGAGTGCCTTGATGTGGCAGCATAAGTTTTCATCAGCCTGTACCCATGCCCTTTGCCTAGCCAGACATGGTGGGGATAGGCCTTTATGACTCGAGCCTGACTCCTCCTTGCCTTTTCCGATTAGGCCTGTGCTTGCCCTGAGTGCTTGAAGTTGCTATGGCAACCACCAGAGCTAGCATGTATTCATAATCTGGGTGGCCTTTGGGTTGGCACGGCAACTGTGAACAAGAATAGAAAGGCAGAAGTGGAAAAGTGGGAGAAGAACTGCCAAGTGATGTACAACATATCAATGGGATGGGACTGCCTCCGTCTGACCTGCAGTCTGAGCAGGTGTCTCACCTTCAGCTATGGTTATGTGCCTATTAAAGTGTTGCTTAGTTGTATCTCTTCCTTCTTGCAAAGAGCTCTGTGGTGGTGTTTGTGGGATCCAGGCACATTCTGGCCAGGCCAATACTTATTTAGTTTCAGCCATCAAACATCTTCACAAGCATTCTCTGGATTTCTGTATATGCACCAGTAACAGTTGGACTGGATGGGCCTTTGGCCTGATCCAACATTTCAGGGAACTTCAAAGGAAGGTTCCATTGCTTTCCCTCTAAATTTTAGGGTAACTTTCCCATCTCAGTATCCATATATTCTGTAATTGGACAATCCAGATTCTTCATGAAGAAACCCCAAATTATATAACCAGATTCTAGGGTTATCTAATCATTTTTAACCCGTCCTTCTTATAGGGAGGTGTGAACATTGTAAACATATAAGAAAAGCCCTGCTGGACCAAACCAACGGTCCAACTCTTTTCTACACTGAGAAGTCCCAGGATTTTTAGGCACCCCTCATAAGAGAGGGGCTCCAACCCCTTGATCATTTTTGTTACCCTCTTCTGTGCTTTTTCCAGCTCTGCAATATCCTTTTTGAGACACAGTGATCAGAACTCCACAAAGTATCCAAATGGAGCCACATCATAGCTTTATACAAAAGTATTACAATATGGACCATTTTATTTTCTATTTCTTTCCTAATAACCCCCAGCACAGAGCTTGCCTTTTTCACTGCTGCGACACACTGAAGTCAACATTTTCATAAAACTTTCGACCACAACCCCAAGATTTCCTTCCCTCTCAGTCTCAACCAGGGGTCTTGTTGTAGAAAAAGAGCTGCCGGAGCTCATTAGCATAACTCATTAGCATAACTTATTTGCATATGCCACGCCCCCTGACATCACCGGAAGTGACAGAAGGCCACACCCCCTGACATCACCGGAAGTGTGTCAGAAGGCCCGGCTACTTACCCTCCTGCTTCATCCTCATTCCCAAACGGAATGAGGATCGAAGCAGAGGGCGGGGTAAAGAAGGGGCGGGGCTTCACCACGTGACCGCCCCGCCCCCTAGAGGTTCTCTTCCGGAGCTCCGTACCTGAGAGCTCCCCCCCGACTAGAGCCCTGGTCTCAACATGTTCAGACCCCATCAGCATATATATATAAAGTTACATATTTTTTGTATCAATGTGTATCACTTTCCACTTAGCAGCACCGAACTTCTCAATGTACCCTAGAGGCCTAGCTTTAAGACCCTTTCCCCCCTGAAAGTCTGTGTCCACTGGTATCTTCTGCCAGTAGGCATATTGCAGGGACAGTACTTGAATTCATGGTATCTTGTTACCCTCTTTTCAAAAGCCTGTTCCTGTTTCAGGAGGAGTTTCGACTGGAAAGGGGACCACAGTTGCTGGCCCTGGTGGAGGAGGCTTTCTCCAGATATGAAAATGGCTTGCAAAACCAATGGTGGATCTCTCTCAGCAAACCCAATGAGAATGACAAGCACCTGCTAATGACTTTGGCTGGAGAGCACGGTAAATGTGTTTGAAAAAGCAGTGAGGGTTGGTTCTTTTTAGAAAGGGCTCTGAAGGGCATCTTGTACTCCAAATTTCCTCTGAGAAGATCACCCCCTCCATGGCTTTCTATCCCGCTGCTTATTTTGTCACACGTAATTGATAAATGCAATCGGATCTATGAATGAATTGTAACCGTCCTCATGCTCTGACCTAGATAGCCCAGAAGAACAAAGTTAGAGTCCAGTGGCATCTTTAAGACCAGCAAAGGTTTATTCAAGGTATGAGCTGTCGTGTGCAAGGCTAGCCCACTCTTATCAGATCTTGGAAGCTATGCAGGGTTGGCCCTGGCTAGTATTTGGATGGGAGACAGCCAAGGAAGTCCAGGGTTGTGATGCAGAGGCAGGCAGTGGCAGACCACCTCTGAACATCTTTTGCCTAAAAAACCCTATGAGGTCACCATGGCCCGGGTCACACGGGAGGTTTTGCCCCGCAAGAGGGACGGATCGGGGGTGCATCAAACAGGCGCGATCACACCGCAACATCTGGGAAGCGGAGCGCACCTGTCCCTGATCCGTCCTTTCCGGGCGAAACCGTGCATCAAAAAAACAAAACAAAAAAAAAACCCCTAGAAAATAACATGGCGAAAAGGACGCTTATGTGGTACATGATTGTGACTGCCAGAATGACATATGCACAAAGTTGGAAACAGGAGGAAGTTCCTGGAATTGGAGAATGGATCAAAAAACTACTTTTTATGGTTGAAATGGATAAGATGACAAGGAAATTGAATAATATGGCAGCAGAAGACTTTTTTGAAGACTAGAAAGATTTAAAAGAATACTTGGAAAAATATTGGGATGTGAGAGACAATTTATTTTGCTTTGATGACTATTGAGTATAGAAAATTGTGAAAAAACAAGTTACCTATTGAATATGTAGAGATAAAGAGGAGTACTTAAGAGTTACCTAAGGATTATGCAGGAGGTTGTAGCACTGTGGGAAGCCATACATAGGGGGGGAAAGGGAGAAGGATAGGATATAAAGGGATAAGAATTGTAATACAAATGTTGGACTTTGTTGAATATATCCTAAAAATAAAATGTTTACCAAAAAAACAACCTACAAAAGAGTACTACCTACCTGAAACTCCGCAGCAAGGGCGGCCATGGGATCGCCGGCGTGCCCGAGGCTCCCAGCCAAACTGCGCATGCGGGCACATGCACAGCCAGCTGCCTTGCTCTCCGTTCCGTGGCTTCCCCCCGGCATCTGATCATGCCGGGGAGCGACTGCGCGGCGGCTTGGGGAATCTGTCTGATCCCGCCACCGCGAGTCTCTTTTGGTGCGGCTCAAAAAAACCACGCTTTGGCCATGTCTCCCCCCCCCCGTGTGACGGGGGCCCATGTCAACTGCAACTTGATGGCAGTTTCCACCGGCAACTGTCCTCATAGATTTTTTTTCAAGACCACATATCTCCTGTTTGAGGACTTTTGCCAGAGCCCTCCTGTCCTATTGTATTAGAACCTTGTCTTTTAGTTTTCAAAGCTCTATGTTAGCTTTGTTTTCCTTGGTTGCTCCTCATACTTTCCCATTACTCCCTCATCTTCGTACTCATTTGAGTTTGTGCAGTGTCTCTGGGGCTTTCAGATAGCTTTCTTCTTAAACTGTCTGTTACTTATTCCCTTCTCTGGGTCAGAATGCAACTTTCAGTTCACATAACATTCATGTCACTAGCCAGATTTCCTAATTCTTCTTGCCTGGATTGTAAAAATTTATTTCTCCTTCAGAGAGCAATGGCACTCCGGAAATGATCTATGTGTAACACTTGAAACCCAGTTCTATGGTTTGAGACTTGCCAAAAATTCCTTATTTTAAGCAAGACCCTAATGGCCATGCACTAAAGATCCCTGGTGGGCATACCAAGGATCCCAGCAGGGAGAAGATGACTGGCTGCTCTTGACTGATAGTGGGAGAGGTCAGGTTGGAAGTTCATCTTACAGCTGATGTGTGAACACAGCTGAAAGTAGCAGCTTATGAGCCTCTCTTCTGTACCCACTCTTCAGTGGCTGCTACTTGTGGAAATGAGGGAACTTGCATTGCAATGATGCCGTTTCCACAGTTTTTGCTTTACTAAAGTTTTTTTTTGTGGGAAGGAGCTGCTGCTTTGGTGGTAGTTGTGTGGCAGTGATAACATGTAATTCTAGCCTGAGTGAGGGAGAATATCATGGAGATTAAGAGCCAAACTAGAGGACAAGCCATATTCAGAGTCTTCTGAATTTTTTTACTGAAATAAAGCAATGGTTGGCTATTAATCTGAATAGATCAGCAGTGAAAGGCAGGTAAAGTTTAAACTTTTCTATTCCCCCCCCATCCTAGTGTGGCTAGTTCACACGTGCTTTCTGTGGTCTACCTGGGAGAGGCAGAAGAGGGGGACTGATTGTATCCCCTCCCTCACTATTTTGCACAAGGCTTAGCTAGTTAACCCCCTTCTCAAAAGCCTGCATGTCTGTTCACATGCTGGGAAAGGGATTTTCAAAGTGGAATTAGATAAGCATATGGAGCAGAGGTCCATCAGTGGCTATTAGCCACAAGGTATAGATAGGGACTCTGGGGCAAGTGATGCTCTGTCATCTTGGTGCTTGGGGGGGTCAACAGTGGGAGGGCTTCTAATGTCCTGGCCCCACTGGTGGACCTCCTGATGGCACTGGTATTTCTGGCCACTGTGTGATACAGAGTGTTGGACTGGATGGGCCTTTGGCCTGATCCAACATTGGCATCTCTTATGTTCTTATGTTCTTATGATAACACATTACTGTTCCAATTTCCCCTCCTTTTTAAAAACTAATTGTCTGGAGGACAGTGCTGGAACATTTGTTTTACTAATCTCATTTGTTTTACTAATACGTTTGTTTGTTTTTCTTCTTTGAGTACAAGCCCTTAGGCCTTGAGTACAAAATGGCTTTGAGTACAAAAGGCAAAGAACGTCATAAAAGTGTGTCATGTTTCCTCTTCAGTAAAGTGGTTCTTTAAAGGGTGGTTTTCTACACCTTTGGTATGAACCAGTATGCTTTTCCATTCATGGACATTGGGATCAGGGTGTCTAGTGATCCTAGATGAGTTCTCCAGCAGGACCTGCAACTGGAGCAATTTTCAGTCATTTTGTCAGTTGTCAGAAGAAGGGCTCTGGGTCCTGTCTTGTGGACACAAGTTATTTCCATCCTGGAAAGTGATGATATCACTGGCTTTCCTCTTTAGCATTTGATAGTATGAAAGAAAGAAAGGAAAAAAACAGTTGGAGAACAACATTATTAGTTGCTCAAATTCTGCCTTGCTGTGCCCATAGCTGGCTTGGAAGCCCACCAATTTAAGTAGAAAGCTATCTGAAAGTTGACAACCAGTTTCTAGATATTTCATGATCAGGGAACTATTACAGATTTTTCTTACATGAAAAGAAAACTGAGCTGATAAGTAGTCCACTGGTCATCAATTCAGCTGGAATACGTGGGTATTTTGAAAATCTCCAAAAAGCAGGTTGTGGTTGAGATATATTCATGGACTTGATGATGGAACACTTAGTGAAACATTCTGGATTCCTCTGATCATATTTAAAATAAATATCAGTGATGGGAAGAAAAAAAATCTAGTCAGATCCTTTTATCTGCCCTTGCTTATACCCATCATAACTGCTGTTAAATTTGCTTTTGCATCCTAAAACAGATCTACTTCCAGTAATAACAATAGGTATTGCCTGCCACTACTGTCACAAAGGAGATATTGTTTCAGTGTAGACAGGCTTCTCCAGACTTGTACATAACCTAAAGAAGAGCACCTTGAAGTAATACTTCTATTTTTCTGTCACTGTGTTTCTTCTCCTAGGGGTCATCCCAACCAATGATGTTCTCCTGGCACTAGATGACATGAGGAGAAACTTAGCTGAGGTAAGAACCTTCAAATACAGAGCAGATAGTGCAGTGCCATTGACCACTTGGAAAAGAAGTAACCCAACCTAGCTGGGCGTTGAGCCCAGAATAGGCAAACAGCTGGCTCAGCAGTTTGCTGCAGAAATCTCTTCTTTCTTAACCAGTAACTGCTGAGTCATCAAAATGCCACTTTCCATAAGCTGATTTGAAAAGTTGTCTCCTGATTTTGTAAGGCCTTTTTAAAAAAACCCACAAGACTGGTTGTGCCTTGAAATCCTGCATGTCCATACTGATGAGAATAGAGAAATGCACATGTCGTAGTGACACTGGTTAGAACTTTCTGCAGGTATTGCCTGTGGAGTCTTTAAGGCATGATGAACCCTCTTACCATTGCTGTTCACAGTGTTTGCTTAGAGGCTGTATCAGCAGAACTGTCCCAAGCAATTTCTGAGGTGCCCTAAGTGCTTGCCAGGAAACAAATGGGAAAAAATGACCCTGCAGTTCCCTTAGGAGTGCCTTGTGTCCAATTCAGTGTTTTAAAGGGTCATTATAAAGTTCTGTGGCTCTTAAATCTAGATCATGCAATGCTTGGAAATTGGCTCAGGGCATTTATGCAAGATCACTGAAAGAATGCCACAAGCACATTTTAGCGGCTGCATAATAGTGCTGCAAATGGCTGTTTGGGGACATCAATGTGATATCTTGTCTATATATCATGGGTAGTATGTTAGTGTGAGTGAGTCTTTCTGTGGAAAGATAGCCATGCAGTTAAAAAAATCTGGCTCGATATGCTTTCTCCTATCTGTAATTAAACAAAAACTACAATCTCTGAGAAAAAATGGTTTACAAAATATTGTGATCTTGTGGGAAAACAGTTTGTAACCTTTCTCACAAATTAATATCCAATAGATCCCTTTAACTTTCCAAAATAATTGTAACAACAATGTAACACTATCTGCAGGAATTCCAGATGAACAAATAAAAAACCGTAGGTCGTGTGATATTGTTTTATTAGGACCAACCAGAATATTAGAAAAATGAGCAGGCTTTCACAGTTCACAGGAATTGTCCTTAGATTGGGATTCACTATTTAAAAAAGGAAGGAGATAAATATTTCAAGACATGATAGGGAAGCCTGTAGTCTGAAGTGTGTGGAACATTAAAATGAAATACAGGACATGTTGCTGACTTGATTAGACAATGCTGGGCGCAAAATGGGTTTCAAGATGTACCAAAGGATAAAGGATTAAAAAAAGCCACCCCCTCAATGAGATGTATTTTGTAAATCAGATTAGCTTTTAACTGGAAATCAAAGCTAACACAAATACTGGTTAATTCTAACCCTGAGTAGTGTTAAAAAATCTGCTCAGGGACATTAAGAAGTACACAGAAACAATTAAGTACCAATTGACTCTGGGAGGGAGGGATAAAAGAGAAGACATACTCTGGCCCCGGTCACACGAGCGGGATAATTCGCAGGGGAAGGGAGGCTTTTAGAGCCGGAGCAAAATGACGCACGGTAGCGCGATCAGACCGTCCCCCGAGGCTCTGTGCTCAGGCCTTTGGCAGCCGATCACACGAAGCGAGGCAAAATGGCAGTAACGCGTTTGTGCGCATGCGTGGGATGGCGATGGGCGCTGGCTGCGATGGGCTACCAGCACTTCCCGATCAGACGCCCGCACGCACCACGCGTTTTCCGGAAGACACTGCAGGGTTCCCAGTATCTTTTAACTCTGCTTTTTCGGGCCGAAGCTACGGGTTGGAGATGGGAGCGCCACGCTTCCCAGATGTTGAGATATGATCTGGCCTGTTTAATCCGCAGGCAAGCCGTCCCTCTCGCGGGGGAAATTCTCTGTGTGACCGGGGCCTCTCTTTACTACTTCTATATTTACTAGTAATGGTTTACCGCTGAAACACTGGCTGCAGATTTCCAATCGACATTGAGTTCCCTAGTCCATAGCCCCTGTAACTTCTCTTGAATGTCCCTCTATGGATGGCAACATCCTAGGACTCTTCCTATCCCTAGCCTGTTTGGAATGTTTGCTCACTAGCAAACAGTTGATGTTTCTCTTTCTTTCAAATGACATGATCCTCCTTTGTTCTTTTGCCCCCTGAGAGTACAGGCTTAAACTGTCACAAAGGGAGGGCAGTGGTGGTGAATAAAATAAAAAAATCAGGATTGTTTAATTCCGTGAGTTCTCTCCCTCTCCCTCTCTCTCTGCGTAGGGATGAGTCGAGTGTGGCACATTCCCCGTCTTCTTTTTAGCATGTGGAATAAGCACTAGTAAATTGGCAGAAAATTTATTCAGCACCTTGCCTCTCATGCTCTATATAACATAGAGTTTTAGAAAGCAATTAAATTGGAATTACTCTTAGGAAAGCATTCTTGGGATTGCACCCCTTTCTCCTTTATGTTGAGCACCCTTAGTTGCATAATTAACAGATCTGCCAAAACTTTAATGAAAAACTGCATATTCTAACAGAAGTAAAAGAGAGTGCTTTACCTGTGATATAGTCTGTAGCCAAAAAACAAATAATAATCTCAGAATGATAACATTTTAGGGTAATCGTCAGCCTTCAACCTGATTGGTTTCACTGAGTTTCTGCTGCTTGCCATTGTTTGTTTGCAAATGGCTACCAGTTTGCAAATGGCTACTACCATTCTCTCAACCACTTGCGCTTCTTATGGATTGTTTTTAGATTGGAATCCAGAACTATACAACCACAACAAGTTGCCAGTCACGTCCCAGCCAGACACATAGTGACTACGGGAAGCTCTTTGTGGTGTTGGTCATTATTGGCTCAGTCTGTGTCATCATCATTATCATGGGGCTTATCTACAACTGCTGGCAGAGGCGCTTGCCCAAGATGAAGAACATGGTGAGTCCCTATGTGTACATAAATGGTTGCCTTCTACTGGATCAGTACCTTGGTCTATCAAGGTCAGTATTGTCTACTCTGACTGGCAGCGGCTCTCTGGGTTTTTGGGTAGATGTCTTTTATATCACCTACTGCCTGATCCTTTTAACTGGAGATGCCAGACATTGAGCCTGGGACCTTCTGAATGCCAAGTGGATGCTCTGTCATTGAGCCACAGCCCATCCTTGTCTTTCTTGCATATGTATTCTGCAAGAGACTGAGGCTGGGGAATACTTCCTATTGACTTTCTTTCCCAAATGACAGACTTCTGTTACTTCCTTTTTCTTTTTCTTCTCTTCCAGTCACATGGTGAGGAGCTACGCTTTGTTGAGAATGGCTGCCATGACAATCCCACTTTGGATGTAGCCAGTGACAGCCAATCAGAAATGCAAGAGAAGAAGCCAAGTGTGAATGGTGGGGCATCCATTAATGGTCCTGAGAGCTGGGATGTCCTCATTAACAAGCGGGCAGGTGAAGAGGGTGATGCATTTGAAGAAGATACACACCTTTAAACAAAAAAGACCAAGTACCTGACTGCATTCTTGCTTGACTTAAGGACTATATGGTGAGGGTGGCTCCTCAGGAACTTCTTTTCAGGCTTGCTATGGATCTGCCCATTACAGTTCTGAGGCACCGTCACAGACCTGGAGACAGAAGGGTCACCCTGAGCAGAGGGGGTGGGGGTGGGGGTGGGGTGTGTTCGTGTGTTGCTGTCATTTAGCGCCAATGCTTCAATCACTTTTAAATGCACTTGCTCGCGCCCTTTGGTAGGAGTGGAGGACGGCCAGGTATGGAAAACAAAATGTGTCAAGGTTTAGCATTGCCTTAGAAGTGGCATTTACTGAATGACTTGTCGTGGAAACCGTAAGCTGGTTTCACACAGGGAGAGCTGAATCCGCTTCCTGTCTCAGAAGGTGCAATAGGAGAAGCAACGAGGGAAAACAGTGCGTATTTCTTGCCTAGGCTTTGGGTGTGGTATGTTAGGCCAGTCTTGCAATTAGCCAGTCCTGCCCAGTTGCCCGGGATGAGCAACAGTTCTCTTTCGTGAGCAGTTTGGCCGGCTTCCTGCTCATGCTGCCATTTGGCACAAAAGGACAAGTGGCTGGGCTAATGGATTTCTTTTTGTGGGCTGGTAATTTTTTTTAACTTCTTTGTAAGGTTGTTTTCAGGCAGAGCAAATGTATTCTGCACAACTATTGGATGTTCTCTCGTGCACTAGCTCTAGATTCTAACAGGGTAGATTGTCTTACCACCCTACCTAACAATGGTCTTTTGCAGTACAAACTCTCTTTTGTGGATTCAGAATTCCTCGTGGAACTTGCAGGCTTTGACCCAGCCCTGCACTGATCTACCTTGGGACAGTCTGGCTTCAGAAAACTGTTCCGTTTCAAACACTGAGTGAATTCCTGCTATCTCCTCAACAAGACTCCTGGACTGGCAGCTAGAGAGAATGAACAGAATAGCAAAATAAGTCTTTTTTCTCCCCCCCCTCTTATTCTCAGGCTGAGAGGTCTCTCTCACTTACAGAGTTACTATAACAGCTAGGCTAATGACTGCCTCTAGTCTTGTTTGGTTGATCTTAAATGAGGAAGAGCTGTGAAGTCTTAGTTTGTGAGTGTTTGAGCTGAGAAAACAGATGGGAAACCCTCATGCACTTATCTGTACATTTGGAGCAAATTGGATTTGTGTTCCCTTCTGCATTACAGGAATAGATTGGTGTGAACAATTGGGGCTAACTCAAGTAATACCCTTGAGATCAGATCCAAGATCTCCTGAATGAATGCCTCTTTGCCATGCTTTAGGCAAGTTTGGATGCCCTAGGGTTCTCAGCAGGCAGTTCTTAAGAAGTCCTTGCATATACAGGATGTTTGTATTCAAAGATGATGATTGGTCTGATATATTTTTGCTCCATTTCCTCGAGGCGTTACACTGCCTTACACTAAAATAGTTTCATAGCTTGTGTCATTGCAAGGACAAAAAAAACCCTATCTGCTTTATTATTGGCTGTATTTGATCTTTAAAAGATCTCTCTGTCTCTTATGCACACGCACACACATACACACACACACATTCATGTATATTTAATGAGGACTGATAATGAACTTGTAATTGAAATCCATTAATATCTAATCTGTAGTTCACTCTGAGCACTGAAATCTGATCTACTTCAAGCATAAAACAATCTCTTGTCAAGAGAGCTTAATTCCATATATAAATATCTAAATACTGTGCAAATGTCATCTCAGTGCAGTACTATACAGGTTTTTGTAAAATAAATTACGTATCTGTAAAGTTTATAATAATAACCCTTTCTTAGCCTGTTTCCAAAGGAGTCGTCAAACTATCTGAATGTTTTTTTTATTATTTAGGTCCTATAATTATTTTAGGATAGCATTTCCTGCCTTGTGGGTGAGCAGCTGGCACTTAACTCTCTTGACCTGGTGCTTATCTATTTATTTTAAAGATCCTCTGCTATTCTGTCCTTCTCTCGCATCTCTGGTCCTAAGGCCTGCAACTGGTTGACTTCAGGTATCCCGGACTTTCTTCTGTCGTCACCTCTTAAACTGGCAGTCAGAAGTACAGTTACTATCTAAGCCCACTGAAATCAGTGGGCTTAGACTCGAGTAGCTCTGCATAGGATTGCACTGTCAGTCTTCAAGAAGTCACCCATTCTGTTTATACCGAGGTGAAATCCCACTGGCTCCCATCTGCTTGCATGCTTCACGGTGTTCTCCCCCGTATTAGCATTTAGAAATGGAATTCCTCTCATGGCCACCAGCTGGTGCATGTTCATTGTGGGGGGAACCATGTACCATCTTGTAGCATCTGTGCCTACCTAGTTACTGAACACTAGGCTGAAACTTTGCATTGCCATGGGGGGGGGGGAAGCTTCCTAATCTGTTTGTGAAGCTGCTGCACACAAACAGGTTTACATCACAAGAAGTGGTGCCCACATGGCTGCCATTTGGGGTGCACTGGTCCTAAGCAGCTTGCTGTAGTGTATATGATGTACTGGCTGTCTCATTGAGAACTTTCTATGAAAATACATAAACAGTAATATGTCACATAAAAAACATAGCCGCTGATAAACCATTTCAACTACCATGATCGTGCTTTATTACATCTGGATGAATGGAGTGCCATCACATAAAATAATTTCTTCAGTACAGAGAATTGCTTCTCTACCTCATTTATACACTTAAATACACAGAGTTGATGGGGGAGAAGGCAAGGTCCATAAAGAAATGTAGACCTTGCATATGATCCAAATGGGCATCGGAGGGAAAATCTGACAACTTCCTTCTGGAGGTCCCTGAGCTAAATCCCAAGTTCTTCATCTGGTACATCTTTCCATGAGAAAAAAAAGAAATAGTTTGTCCCTCACGTAAGAGCATTTATTAGAATCACTTATTCCATGAAAAAGCCATCATGGTCTTTCTTCAGTGATGAAGAGTTCTTTGGAATGGGCCAAGATTTATCTTGAATTATGATGTGATTTTTATCTTCACTGACCACATGGGGGTGTTTTCACAAAAAAATTGCTTCATTGCTTATACAAGTCCCCACATCTTGATTTCTCAATGGCCATACTTGATAGGGTGCTTTGTGTTCATTCTTGTCCCTCTTCAGAGGTAGGCAGATGAAAGGAAATGAGAAGAGCCACATCGGCCTGCAGTATTCTACAAAGATTTCTCCAAAAAAAAAAAATCAACCTTCAAAAGCAAAATGCCTGTTTTATGAAAATTAATCCCTTTTATTAGCATAATGTACTTCCTCGAATGGATGGGAGGGGGCATTGGGTCAAACCCATGCTGTCTGATATCTTTATGACTTTTTAGAAAGTTGATTGAAGAATGTATTACAGAATCCATTTTATAATTTTAAGAATTATCTTTCATTTTAATGGGATGTATTCATTTAGGACAGAGCCTCTTAATTACCAAGCTAGAAGAATGCCTTATTTCCTCCTCACTGAGGCACTTTCATGGCTGTCTTTGCCTTTTACTTTGAGCCACACTGACCTCTGGTGGTATTCAGGAGTAAGGCTCAGTGACAAATTGACTGCTGTGGTTTTGTCCTTGTGTCTCCTCACCACTATGGATTTCAGAACTTAGTTAACTGATAACAGTTTGCATATCTTTTGTGTTTCTTTAAAGGGAAGAGAACAAGCTCATTTTAAAGAAAAAGTTTTCTCATTTGAAAACTAGGTGGTCTGGTTCCATAGCGATCCCTTGCAAGTTGCTTCCAATAATGGAGTAAATTTGAGTATTTCTGATGGGTTTTCACTGATGAAAACTGCAAAAAAAAAAGGAAATCAATATATTGCTTTTAGAAAAGAAATTACATACCAGGTCTACTCCCAAGTGAATAGGAAAGCTTGCAGAACACTCCCCAAGCAATCTAGACTCAAACACTGGTACTATGATGCTGGATATTTAATCAATTAGATAAAAACGTAGCCCTAAACTCATTTGGGGAGATGGTTGCATCACTGGTTGCATGAAACAAAACAGGGGGAGGTAGCAGTGCCAGATAATAATGGAGCTATACAGCAGACAATAAAACAGAAGTCCAATGGCATTCTGAGCGCTGACTTATGAAAGCACTTGGTAGAATAAATGTGAGTCTTCAGTGTGCCACTGGCCTCCTATTTATTTTGTTGCTATGGACTAATGCAGTAATTCATCTGGAATTACACTATACAGTGGAACACATTTTAGCTGGACCAGCTTCTTATCTTCATCAGTTAATAGTCCAGAAAACTTGATGGAGTCACCTCTGGATACCTTCTGCTTTAACATCAGTAGCCCTGTTAGTTTGTAGCCGCAAAATAAAACAGGGAGCCTGGTGGCACCTTATCTGTGTATGTAAAGTGCCGTCAAGTCATAGCTGATTTATGGTGACCCCAGCAAGGGGCTTTCAAGGCAAGTGAGAAGCAGAGGTGTGGTTTGCCATTGCCTTCCTCTGCAGAGTCTTCCTTGGTGGTCTCCCTTCCAAGTACTGACCCTTCTGACAAGATTGCGCTTTACCATGCCACACTCCCTCCCCCAGAGGCACCTTAATAGCTAACAAAACTTATTCCCGTAAAAGTTTGTGAGTCAGAGCTCACTTCGTCAGATGCATCTGATTTTTTTCCTGATATAACGGAATGCCATACTAGAAAAATATGCAGCATGTTGCCATAAAAATAATAGTAAATATATTGCTTTAAATTCTATTAAGTGGCTTCTTTGCTGTTATTTAGTTCGGCCTCTTCAGAACTACCACTTTTGGAGAACTAGCAAGCATGTACTCTTGTCAAAATGCAAAGGTGCACGGCCTTGGAAGAGAAGGAATACTTAGGGTATGATCCTAAGAACATTTTCTTGGGAGTAAACCTCACTGAATAGACCTGAGTAGGATTCTGAGTAGACATGTTTAGAATTGCACTGTTAGTGCACTAGTAGATTCAGGGAGCAATCCACAGCCATTGAAAAGAACTTCATAAACTTCAAAAGTATATATGGATTGC